TTTTTTTTTTTTTTTGCTAGTCCTGGCGCTTGCACTCAGGGCCTGGGCACTGTCCCTGAGCTGCTTTTGCTCAAGTCTGGCACTGTACCATTTGAGTCACAGCACCATTTCTGGCTTTTTCTGTTTATATGGTACTGAGGAATTGAACCCAGGGCTTCATGCATAGTAGGCAAGCACTCTCTCACTAAGCCACGTTCCCAGCCCCAAAATATTTCTTTTTTGAAGAATAAAATCAAACATAAGAAAAAGTCCAGAGCTGGTGGCTTGCCACTAGTCCTAGTTACTTACGAGGCTGAGATCTGTGGATCAAGGTTAGAATCTCAATTGAGCAGAATAAGCTAAAAGACTTTTATCTCTAGTTACCCCATCTCCCACCCCCCCAAAAAAGCCAGAAGTGATAGAGCTCTAGCCTTGGGTGAAAAAACTGATCAAGAGAGCTAAAAAAGCTTGAGGCTCTGAGTTCAAGCCTTAGTCCCAGGACACATGTGCATGTATGTGTGTGTATGCACCCAAACACACACACACACACACACACACACACACACACATACACACACACACACACACACAGAGCAGAAGCAAGCACTAGAGTATGTGGTGTAGACATCACAGCTGGATACAGCATTTCTAAAATGGAAAGGAGGCTACAAAGGCATAGAGTGAACGTTTATCCACAAAAAAACCAAGAGTACATCATCACAAGTGAAAACACATGTTGTGTTAAAATTTAAATGCACAATAAGTCCTTTGTGGGATCGCCACAAAGGATTTAAAAGGTTGCAGGGTGGTGAGATGCATTGCTGATGACATTGTGTGAAAACCATGTGACTTGCTTGCTTTCCTGGCAAACATTCTGACAGTATGTAATGAACTTTAAACTCAAAAAAGACCCCAAAGAAAACAACGTTGTCTGGAGAGCTTAGTCATTCATTATCGTAACTAGTGTAAATTGATCATCTCCTATGGGTCTACCATGTATGAGAGCTCTATTCAGTCATGCACAATATTACCACTGTTTCGTATCTGAGGAAATGGAGAGTTGAAGAAATGAAAGAATTGAGGGGCTGGGAAGGTGGCTCAGTGGTAGAGCGCTTGCCTTGCATGCCTGAGGCCCTGGGTTCGATTCCTCAGCACCACATAAGCAAAAAGTAAAAAGCCGGAAGTGGCGCTGTGGCTCAAGTGGTAGAGCGCTAGCCTTGAGCTGAAGAGCTGAGGGACAGCGCCCAGGCCCAGAGTTCAGGCCCCACGACCAGACCCCCCCCCCAAAAAAAAAAAAGAATTGAAAAGAGCTGGGAGCCTATGGCTTGCTTCTGTAATCCTAGCTACTCAGGAGGCTGAGATCTGAGGATCACGGTTCAAAGCTAGCCCAAGCAAGAAAGTCCATGAGACTTTTATCTCTATTTAACCACCAGAAGAGGTTAATTAAGGCCAGAAGTAGAGCGTGGCTCAAGCAGTAGAGCACTAGCTTTGAGTGAAAAAGCTCAAGGACTGGGGGGAAAAAGAAACTAAGAGATTGTGAAGTTCTTATAACAGCACCTGTAATGCTCAAAACATTCATGGCTGTTCTTAGCTACCTTTATTCTTTCTTATTTAATACTATTTATGTATTTGTTTATTGTGCTAGTACTTGGGGGTTTGAATTCTGAGCCTCGGGTTCTCTGTTGGATTGTTCAAGGTTGGAATACTATCACTTGAACTACTTCCAACTTTTCCCCGGTTAATTGAAGATAGTGTATCATGGACTTTTCTGCCTGGGCTGGCCTTGAACTGTGATCCTCAGATGTCAGCTTCCTTAGTAGCTAGGATTACAATCATGAGACACCAGAAGTAAAATTCCATAGTAGTGATTATTTAGTGTTGAGTGTACTTTGTCTTCTTTTCACCCATGAAGTTGTTTAAGGTTGTAGTTTGAAGTGAGAAGAGACAGAGCACACAAAAGAGCACTCAGCCTAATTCTCCAGTGACAATGAGAGAATGGACTCTTGAGTCCCTAAAGGACAAGTTTCTATACACCCGGGTTTTCTTTTGAGGGGAGGAGTTGTTTTGGGGTTTTTTGTTTTTGAGAGGTAGGTCTGGCTACTTAGCCCAGGCTGGCCTTAAACTTAACATGCTCCTATCTCAGCCTCCCAAGTAGCTGGGAGAGCAGTGTGCCCATGCCTGGCTCTGTACGTGTACTTTAAAGGATTGTTCAGGGTTCTCATGCCCAAAGCTGCCTTAACACATTGCATGGAACTGTGTTGAGGACCAGGTGGAATCTTTGTATCCCAGTCCAGGTGTAGGATAGAAGCATTGCAGTCACCTGGAACCTACCTTCTTGTTCTTGGCATTCAAACTGCCTTCCCAGTGTGGTAGACTAATTATGTCATATATATCTTCCTCCACACCCCCCACCACCCCTCCCACTGGCCCCAACAGCTGCAACTGCTCCAAGTACACCCAGAGAGCTGAGTGTGACCTCACAGCTTAAGAAGCTACAAGAGACCATTGAGCAGAGAACCAAGATAGAACTTGGGGACATCATCCGAATCAGAGGCTACATCCGCACATACAGAGAAGAGCGAGAGATTCATGCCACCATTTATTGTAAGCACAAAAAATTCCTGCCAAATTGATAGCCTTTCTGTGTATGTGTTCAGTAAATGCCATTTACACAAAAACTAGACTTCTATCCACAATTTTTTTTTTTTTTTGGTCCAGTCGTGGGGCTTGTACTCGGCCTGGGCGCTGTCCCTCAGCTCTTCAGCTCAAGGCTAGCGCTCTACCACTTGAGCCACAGCGCCACTTCTGGCTTTTTTCTTTTTGCTTATGTGGTGCTGAGGAATTGAACCCAGGGCCTCAGGCATGCAAGGCAAGCGCTCTACCACTGAGCCACCTTCCCAGGCCAAAAACTAGACTTCTAAAACACGCAGATAAGAAGATTTAACTCAAGCCAGACACGGTGGCTCACAGCTGTAATTCTAACTAATCAGAAGGCTGAGATCTGAGAATTGCAGTTCAAAACCAGCTCAGACAAGAAAGTCCATAAGACTCTTATCTCCAGTAAACCACCAGAAAACTGGAAGTAGTGTTCTGGCTCAAGTGGTAGAGCACTTGCCTTGAGCTGAAGAGCTGAGGGACAGCGCCCAGACCCAGAGTTCAGGCCCCACTACCGGACCCAAAAAAAAAAAAAAAAGAGTACAAGGCCTTGAATTCAAACCCCAGTATTGGCACAATCAATCAATAGGTTTACTGTATTGAGAAAAAATTGGTTACTGACTATATATAGTTGTCAAGTGTATTAGGCAGAATGGGAGTCTCCAAAATTCTTTGTAATTCCAAGTGTGGATTCATTAGGATAGTGTTCATATTCTTCAAAGTGATATAAATTTCTTTTTCTTTCTTTTTGGTCATGGGGCTTGAACTCTGGGCCTGAGTGCAGTCACTCAGCTCTTCAGCTCAAGCCTAGCGCTCTACCACTTGAGCCACAGGGCCACTTCCAGTTTTCTAGTGATTTATTGGAGATGAGAGTCTCACGGACTTTCCAGCCCAGGCTGGTTTTGAACTGCTGTCCTCAGATCTCAGCCTCCTGAATAGCTAGGATTACAGGTGTGAGCCACTGGCACCTGGTGTGATAGAAATTTCTTAAACACTTAAGTCCATTAAAGTGAAAAGAGCAAGTCCCCTGTCATCTCTCCCTCTGCACTTTGCTGGCTGGTTTTGAGCTGGAAATCTCGAGGACAGCTGCTGTTGTTCACCAGTGTCACAGATGAATGATGTACTAGTGCACCTTCCTAGTTCCCATCTACTTCCTGGCCACATCTGACCCTCAGGGGCCTTTCCTCTCTAGGGATGAATGAGAATCATGATCTGCATCTAGACTTCGCTTAACTATGACTTTGACATAGGAAAGATATGCTTTCTGTGTAATTTCTATGTTTGTTAGATAAAGTAAACGATCCAGTGTGGAACACTCAGATTGCAAGGATGCTTGAGCTGCCCCCTCTCTACAGGAAGGTGTATGACCAGCCCTTCTGCAGCCCAGCCTTAGAGAAAGAAGTGGCCATGAGGTAGGTTATGCCTCAATGCTACTGAAGTGCCAGCAGCAGTACAGCCAGCAGTGAGAGCCAGTGCTGGGTTGGCCAGGGTTCAGATCTGAAGCATCAGCCTGGGCATGGAAGAGAACTAAGGCATTGTGGATGTCTGTTTCCTCATCTGCAAAGTGAAGATGGTAACAGTACAGATGATCTAGGGCTATTATAAGAGAATTATATGTATAAGTAAGAGTTATTAAAGGACAAAGGGTGAAAAAGTATTTGAAGGAATACTAGCTAAAATTTTTCCATGTTGGATGAAAACTATAAACTGATAGTTCCAAAACTCTCAGCAAACCCCAAGGAAAGAAACATGAAGAAAACTGCACCAAGGCATAGCCTGTCAAAATTTTATGTCATTACACACTGTTAGCGGCAAACCTATACCCCCCAAAATAATGAGACCAATTACTGTTAACCACAGATGATATCTGTATGGGTGCAACAAAGCAAATAATACCCCAGGAGGAATACGATTTTTTTTTTTTTTTTTGCTGGTCATGGGGCCTGAACTCTGGGCCTGGGCACTGTCCCTCAGCTCTTCAGCTCAAGGCTAGCACTCTACCACTGGAGCCACAGTGCCACTTCCAGCTTTTTTCTTTTTCTTATGTGGTGCTGAAGAATCGAACCCAGGGCCTCATGCGTGCAAGGCAAATGCTCTACCACTGAGCCACCTTCCCAGCCCCCAGAATAAGATTTTTAAAGACATTTGCTACTATGTGGGAAGAGATACAGAGAACTGATAACCCACTTGTGACTTACTAGGGGGTCAGATTTGGGAGGGCAGGATGTTGAAGAAGGAAAAAAAGAAAGGTTTTACTATGTTCCCTTTATTTACTTTTATGGGTGCTAAGGATCAAATCCAGGACCTCATGCTAGGCACCTGCTCTTTACTACTGAGCTATATCCTCAGCCTGCCCCACTTTTGTGCCTCTAGGGTTTGAATTACTCAGTTGGCTTGCTTGTTTGGCTGGTGCTTTACCACTTGGGCCACACCTTTGGCCCTGTTTTTTGATGGTTATTTTAGAGATGAAGTCTCAAGAGCTTTTCTGCCCAGGCTGGCTTTGAACTGTGATTCTCCAAATCTTTGTCTCTCATGTATCTAGGATGATAAATGTGAGCCACCAGCACCCATTCCTTTCTTTTTTTTAAATGTACAAATATGTTAGAGATTTTTAAAACTATTTTTGAGAAGTACAAATAATACACCTATATAAAATGGGAAATTGTCCCCTTGGTGCTGCTCCCTAGAAGCTCCCCGTGTTCTAAGGCTGCTGTGCATACACAAGTAGGGGTAGTCATGGTAGGTTTGTTGTGTTAGCCTTTGCTTTTTCAGTTTGTTTTTAGGAAAAATGGAGCTATGTCTTCTGTTCCATTTTCTGCAGCTTGACTTTTTTCTGGTTGTCTTTTATTGTTGGTTTTTTTTTTTTTTGGTTTGTTTTTGTCAATACTGAAGTTTGAATTCAGCACGTGCTGGGCAGGTGCTCTACTGCTTGAGCCACACCTAAAGCTCCTGGTGTTTTCCTTAACTTTGTAATAAGGTCTTGCATTTTTGCCCAGACCATTTTGGACTTCAGTCCTCCTATTTACACTTTTCTGGTAACTAGGATGAAAGGTATGCACCAAATGCCTGGTTTTTTGCTTTTGGTTGAAATGGTTGGTTTTTTGTGGTTTTTTTTTGCCCAGAATGGCCTCAAATTGTGATTTTCCCTACCTCTCTGCCTCCTGGGTAGCTAGGATTATTGGCATGAGCCACTGCACACAACTACCATTGCATATGTTAGCCAATTTTGTCTATGCATACCAAAAAGGAACAAGGATGAAAGTTATCTGTAGAGCTGTTAAAAACTTTCCCTCAGCGCCAGCAATCCAGGCACTCTGGACCTCACCAGTCTCACTTGTTTGCTGAGTGAGAAAGTCAAAGAATTCCTCGTGGACAAGAGAGTGCAGACCTTCTACCAGCAGGAATTGGAAACTGTAGAGTCCTTGATAGCCCTGGCCAATCAGCCTGTGATTCATACCCACTCGGATCAAGTAAGTGCAGTGTATTTCTGCAAGAGTTTTTTTTTCACGTGAGACTTTCTGCACAAACCCTGGTTGCTCAGAATTTGAAATGAGGCTGGACTTGCCCTTTTCTCCTTATTACTTAGTCACATTACACTTAATCTTTTAGTAGAAAAATAATAAGTTAAGATCATAGCACCTAGTTGTTAGCACTCACCAAGATAGGTATTTAATCTCAGCATATATCAAATGAGGGGAACGGAGAAAAGAGGTGGTAATTATCATCTAAGATGATTTATTGATCAGCAAAATGATTCTTGAACTTCAACCCAGGTTATTAATGAATTGTTCTTTCTCAGAATAAGGTGTTAGGAATTTAAAGTCAAGTTGTATTTAGGCTGGTTTGTCAGTAAAAATTTCAAGAACCACTAAAATAATTTTCTTTTTCTCAATGGGAAAAAAATGTCCTCATTTAAAAAAATATTTTGTGTTAGAAGTGAACTTATTGTTTGTCTGGTATTTATGTATTTGTTTGAAATTAAGATTGACTGGAGACTTTGAGTTTAGGTGTTCCATTTTATTACTACTCTTAGATTTGTTGCCACTGAGACATGACTCATTTATTTTTAAATGATCTCAGCTTAAATGTCATCTTCTTGCCCCCCTCCTCTGCTGTGATTGCCACTTGTCCCTTGCTGTGATCCTGTCACGTTCATGTCTGTGACATCACTGGCATTTACTTGCTTATCCATTCCTCCACCAGAACGTAAAGATCTGCCATCTTCTTTGCTCTCAGGGCCTAGAGTACATACAGAACTAATTATTTGCTCATTGAAGGAATGAATTTTTTTTCTTAAATTCAGATGTTCCCATAAAGTATAATTAAAAGAAGAGCTGGGTATGGTGGCAAATGCCTGCAATCCCAGACTCAGGTGGGTTATGTAGGAAATCTGTTAGAGACCAGCCTGGGCTATATACAATAAGACTCTATCTCGTTGTCTGTCTCTGTGTCTGTTTCTGTCTCTCTCTGTTACACACACACACACAAGAAGTATGTTTCCTTTTCATTCTCACTGACAAGTACACTCATCTCCTGGATAAGCGTCTGGATGTATGTACTCTGTGTATATATCAACTATTAGCAGTTGTTTCCCCTTTTATCCAAATGGAAACATGCTGGAGTATCCTTGACATATACTCTTCATTGAGCAGTGTGCCCTAGAGCTCCTTTTTAAGTACTGCATACAGATCTACAACTATATAATAACCTTTGACTACTTATACCAAAAGATTAGTTGGTGTGGGGCGGGGGGAGTCGGAGCATGTTGTGTGCCAGTTTTGGGGCTTGAACTTAGGACCTGAGCACTGACCTTGAGCTTTTTGCTTAAGGCTAGTGCTCTACTGCTTTGAACCAAAACTCCACTTCTTAGGTTTTTTTTAGTGGTTATTTGGAAATAAGAACCTCACAGACTTCCTTGCCTGGATGGCTTTGAACAGTTATCCTCAGATCTCAGCCTCTTGAGTAGCTAGGATAAAGGTGTGATTCACCAGCACCCTGCCTAGTTCATATATTTAATTAGTCTCTCCATTCTTGAACTGTTCAGATTATTTTCAGTCTTCCCTCATTACCAACTGGCAAGCAGTTGGTAATTTTATAATAATAATACAAAAATTGTTTTGTGTTCTTCTGGTGGAACAGACACCGGATCACCTTCTAGGCCAGATCTCTGCTTCTCAGTTTTAGTTTTGTTCTTGCGCCTAATTACCTCTTCCTGGCAACAGGCTTAGGTGCCCAGTGACCCAGGATTTCATACAGGGAATTGAGGGATAGCATTTCAGAAAACACTCAGGTGGAAGGTGTCACAGTTGAGTGCTTTGTTCTTTGCCAAGGACCGTCCTGCTGTGCGCCTCCCATTGCCCTCCCCTCCCCCCACTTAATCATTTAGGGGAGGCTCCAAGCCAAATTGACCTCCTAGGACTTTGATGATTGTTATGGTTTGCAAGGAAACCACTGCCTAATGCTTAGTAAAGCCCACCTTCCCAGAAGCCTGCTCTCCTGTGATGGTTATAATTAACTAGAGAGACTTGAAGGGCAACTCTAGTCAAAATGATCCATGGTGGAGTCTTGACAATGATAACATTCTGAAAAAGCTTAGTGCAGAAAATCGTATCTATCCAGTGTTGAATATTTAAGGCGAAATGAATGCGGTACTTTATTTGTTTTGTCTTTGAAACAGTTTTTACATCAATTATGAATTAGTTCGTTCCATTGCTTTGGTTGAGAGGTCAGTGTCATTCAATTAAATTCCATTTAATTGAGCCCTGGGAGACTAAAGATGCTTACAGTGATGGTGAAACCTGAGAGTGTTAGCACTTTCTGTGGTCATTCAAGTGAAAGCTTAAAAAAAAAAGTCACTGTGCTGTTGTCATAGTTCAGAGGCAGCAGAGCAATTGGGAATGTTTTCTCCTCTCTGTCTCTATTTTTCCATGGCCCTTCTTAGCAAATCCAGAAACACGATAAGCAGATCTTGCAAAACCATTGTTTCTTTGACAGCTGGATGAATGTTGAGTTTGGGAGTGAAGACTATATATATTTTTCAGGGAGCCGCCCAGTTCCTGACCTGAGCATAGGCGCAACTCATTCAGCCTGCTGCTGCTTTAGCCTGTGAACAATTTCAGTTTCCTGAATCACATGAGTGAATCAGGCATAGCTCTTTTGAAAACATCAGGCAAGATACAGATCGTAGTCAGGAATTGCTGCTGGCTTTTCAGAAGACACAGCTTGCCTTTGGGACAGGCTGGGAGATGTGTCCTGAGGTTAAATGAGGCAAAGGATTCTGGACAGGAAGTGCCACATACTGTTTATATTTACTAAGAGCCATTCCTGTTGAGTCCTCCTTGTGCACAGCTGAAACTGCTTTTCCTTTCCCAACACTGGGTGCCCTCTTTCTACTACTTGGTCTTATGAAGAGAGAGGAGCTATGACCTTTTATGCAAAAGGTTGCCCAAGAGCAAATGCAGCTTTCTGATTTAATATCCAATGTCATCGCATTAAACAAATCATAACGAAAGTATGGAACAGTTATCAAGTGTAACCCTACCAGCGCAGACTTCCTGCCCTCCCTAAATATCATCCTCCTGCTGGCCGGCAGTGCATTTCTGGATCTTGTTGACACAGCAGATTAGAAGCCTGTTTGGCAAAATCATAAACTAGTTGGTCTTGAAAGCTGTTCTTATGTCTGGGAAGATGAGAAACTGATTTTTTTTCCCCCTTCAATATACAGGTGGAATTAAAGAATAACACCACTTCCAAGGCAATTCATAGCATATTTAAGAATGCTATAGAGCTGCTGCAGGAAAAAGGACTTGTTTTCCAGAAAGATGGCAGTTTTGATAACCTGTACTATGTAAGTGATCTGCAATTTAAGAATTTCCCTTTATTGCTTAAGTTACAAATACAGTTATTACTTACAAGTACCTACTTACTGTTTTTTTTTTTGCTGTTGTTAAAAAATCATTAAGAGGTATTAGAAATGCTTCTTTTCTGTAACATCTCTACCACAGTTTTTGTCACAATTATACATATTTTAAAATTTGCTATCTAATCTTTCTGTACATAATAAAAAAATAAAAGATAAAGGTATTTTTTAAAAATCATTAAGAGGGCAGGGAAAGTGGCTCAGTGGTAGAGTGCTTGCCTTGTATGTATGACGCCCTAGATTTGATTCCTCAGTAACACATAAGCAGAAAAAGCCAGAAGTGGTGCTGTGGCTCAAGTAGTAGAGCACTAGCCTTGAGCTGAAGAGCTAAGGGACAGCGCCCAGCCCAGAGTTCAGGCCCCACCACCAACAAAAAAAAAAATCAAGAAGATACAGAAAGTCAGAAGTAAAGGTGGCTCCTATCTTTCCCAAGATATTTCTTTTAAGCATAGATCCTTCTACACATTTACTGTACATTGACAAATGCGCATATATACAATGCATTCCGGTGGTCTTTTTGTTTTACAAAAATATGATTATCTGTGAAATCAGAATTTGTCAACCTCAACACTGGCCAGATGGTTGTCATGGAATGTTCAGCAGCAGGCCTGACTTTATTCGTAACACCTCCACTGTTGAGATAGTCACAAATGTCTCTGGGCATTGCCAAGTTGAAAACAATGCTCTAAGTAACGTTCCATAAGCTGGATACCAGTGGTTCAAGCCTGTACTTGCTACTCAGGAGGCTGAGAACTGAGAATTACAGTTTGAAGCCAGCCTGGGCAGAAAAGTCCATGAGATTTTATCTCCACTTAACTATCAAAAAACCAAAAAATGAGAAATGGGACTATGGCGCAAGTGGTAGAACACTAGCCTTGAGTAAAAAAGCTCAACGCTGCCTAGCTGCCTAGACCCTGAATTCAAGCTCCAGGACACACACACACACACACGCACGCACGCACGCACGCACGCACGCACACGACCTTCCAAGGGCTGGGAAGGTGGCTCAGTGGTAGAGTGCTTGCCTTGCATGCCTGAGGCCCTGGGTTCAATTCCCCAGCACCACATAAGAAAAAAGAAAAAAGCCGGAAGTGGCGCTATGGCTCAAGTGGTAGAGCGCTGGCCTTGAGCTGAAGAGCTGAGGGACAGCGCCCAGGCCCAGAGTTCAGGCCCCACGACCGGACCCTCCCCCCAAAAAAAAAAAAAAAGAAAACAGCCCTTTCCAGACAACTTTCCATGGAAGCAGCTCTGAGTCTTCCTCCTTTTTCACATCCTCATGATGATATTTCATTCACTGGGTACTTGCCACAAAGCTTTCCTCACTCCTTTGTGAGGGAAATTTATGGTACTGACACTTTTTTTGGGGGGAGGGGTCTGTTTCTGGGGCTTGAACTCAGAGCCTGGGCACTGTCCCTGAGCTTCTTTTGCTCAAGGCTAGTACTCTACCACTTGAGCCACAGTGCTACTCCCAGCTTCTTCTGTGTGAACTGAGGAATTGAGGGTTTCATGAATACTAGGCAAGCACTCTACCACTAGACCACATTCCCAGCCCAAAACTTACAATTGCTTTATTTTATGTGTCTGTGGTGCTGTGGTCAAACTCAGGGCCTCATACATGCTAGAAGTTAGCACTCTACCACTGAGCCACACTCCTAAGCCTGGTACTGACACCTTTGACTCTCACATAATGTTGCTCTGGCCCCTTCTGCACAACTGTCTTTGTGAATTCAGATTATTATTTCTCTGTTAGAGTGACACTCGAAGGAGATTTTCAGGAGCAAAGGAATTGTTGATTAAGCTTTGGGATGACATAGTCCAATCTGATTGGCCTCCCTAAAGGCTGTGCCCATTGACCTCCCAACCAAGAGAACCTGAATGGCTGCTGCTTTGCCTCCCCCAAAGTTCTCTTAAAGGCTGAGAGGTGAGTCAGTTACCTTGAGCAGGACTACAGGAGAGTGGGAGAGCAAACCTAAAAGATACAGACTACCCAGCACTGCTTGTTTCTCCACCTCTGATCCACTGTTGTGCCAGGGGGTCTAAACAGACCTGGGTCTGCTTCTCTACCAAGTTGGCCAAAAGCCCTCATATAGTAGTGCCCCACTCTAGATGGCCATGTAGGAGTTCTAGATCAGTGTTGTTTCTCAGGACATTGGCACAACAGCCAAGTTTATTGGTGCTAGGCCTACCACCGTTGGTGTAGCTGATCAGGGGCTGGCATTAGAAAGGTGTTTGGCAGCTTGATCATTGGCTGCTATGCCAGGAACCCAGGAAGCAGCTTTTCTATGCTATTCTGGGCTTTTCTCTGTCTAAGGCCATAGGGTTCTTGTGTGCACTAGAGCTTGAAGTAAGGTCCTGGGCATTGTCCTTTGGCCTTTTTTTCCCCTCAAGGCTGGCACTCTACCACTTGAGTAACTTCTGGGATTGACAGTCCAGCCTAGCACAAGCGCCATCTCCCTGTGAAGGAATTGGATAGACATGGCAGTACTAGGCAAGGCAGCTCAGATCCAGCTTCTCCTGGGACACACATTCCCACAGGCTCTAGAGCTGTCCTCCATTAGGGTTTATGGAGAGCAACCCTTCCTGGAGAGCAGTAAGCTGTAGCCACCAGGACAAGGTGTGGCAGGGCAGAGCACTTCCTCCTGTGAATCACTGTGAGTTGGTCACCCTCCCCTTCTAGTCATGCCTGCCTTGTAGGCCCAATGTCAATATTGCATTGACTTCTAGTGCTTTCCAGCTTCCTTGTGAGTTGAAAAAAACATAGGTGTTATTATGTCCCCTTCTATAAGTCAGGTCCCCCAAGGAGTTTCTGTGCTGTCTCTATAAAGTAGACTTACAGCTGTATGTTTTCACGCTTAGTCTTCCTTCCTTGTCTTCTACTCTTCCATTCCTTTTCTTTCTTCTTTCTTCCTTTCTTTATGTTACTTTATGTTACTAGTGTTTTTGTAATGATGATGAAACTCATTTGGTAGTTGCTTCCCTGCTACATCTGGTTGAAAAAGAAACAATTCTAGCTGCCTTTGAGAACAGATGGTGTTTCAATGGATAGGCTAGATTGGCTCCCGACAGTTTGTTCTAACAGGGTTATTTCCTTCTTTTATTTTTCATTGTGCTTAGGGAAAGTCAGAAAACTAATGAAATATAACATAAATGGCAGGATCCAGAGGAAGAAGTCCTGGGGTGGAGACCAAAAGGCTTTGATCACTTGATCTTCTCCTAAAGAAGCATATGTATGACAAGTTGGGCACCAGTAGCTCATGCCTGTAATCCTAGCTACTCAGGGGGCTGAGATCTGAAGGCCAGACCACCCTGGAAAGTCTGTGAGACTCTCATCTCCAATCAACCACCAGAAAGCCGGAAATGGCACCATGACTCAAGTGGTAGAGCACTTGCCTTGAGCTGGAAGAGCTCAAGGACAGCGCCCAGGCCCAGAGTTCAAGCCCCACAACCAACCAAAAAATACACACAACACACACACACACACACACACACACACACACGATAAGCCTGGAAGCACTGGCTCACACCTGTAATCCTAGCTATCTAGGAGGCTGAGATCTGAGAATCACTGTTCGAAGCCAGCCTGGGCAGGAAAATCCATGAGATGCTTATCTCTAACAAACTACAGCTGAAGTTGCACTGTGGTTCAAATGGTAGAGTGCTCGCTTTGATCACAAAGAAGATCAGAGACAGTGTCCAGGTCCTAAGTTCAACTCCCAGGACAGGCAGAAGAAAAAAGACAAAAACTGTGTGTAAAAGTTGTACATGAGTGTACCCCCCCCCCACACACATACACAATCCCAGCGCTCAGAGGCCAGCCTGGGCTACCTGGCAAAAAAAAAATTCTTAAAGTTAAAAAAAAGAAATGGGGCTGGGAAGGTGGCTCAATGGTAGAGTGCTTGCCTTGCAGGCCCTAGGTTGGATTCCTCAGCACCACATAAACAAAAAAGCCAGAAGTGGTACTGTGGTTCAAGTGATAGAGTGCTAGCTGAAGAGCTGAAGGATAGTGCCCAGGCCCAAAGTTCAGGCCCCATGACCAAAAAAGAAAAAGAAAAAAGAAAGAAATGTAAATGTGTTATGAGTGTTTAAGGAGAATATTATTCCTTAAAAGTACAGAATTCCAGGTTTTCTTTACCAGCTCTCTGGGAGTATGCCCTGTACAGTTTCTCTTTAGGAACAGCACTAGTTTGACAGAAGTCCAAGTATCCAAACACTTGGTGTAGGGAAGATGATGATTGGGAAATCTTTGAAAAATGAGCCTGCATGCTAATGTGAAAGTCTGGATGACACAAGCAGGTTAACTAAGGAAATTTCCTCTCTGAATTGTTTTTCCTATTTAGGTAACCAGAGAAAACAAGGACCTGCACAGAAAGATCCACCAGATCATCCGAGAAGACTGCCAGAAGCCAAATCGTAAGTAGCATCAATGGAGAGTAGTCCCCAGTAGGGCTGTTCCCAGGAATTACTGGGGAAGGTAAGGTTCTCTGATCCTCAGTTCCCTCCCTTCTGAGGTGCATGTGAGGCTAACACAGTTGTCCAGACATTGGCTGCACATGAGATTCAACCTTGGAGCTCATTTAAATGTCCAGCACTTACTTCCGGGTCCTGACATTGTAGTTCTGTGGGGTATGGGCTGGGGGGCTTCACAGGTACTTTGCAGGAATTTCAGGACAGTGAGGTAAGTCTCTCCACTAGGGCTCTGTGAGGTCGCCTGGTTTTTCATCTCGCAGTTTTTTGTTCCACACTTGTCCATGGCTTTGTACCAAAACCTGACATTCTCCTCACTTCTGACATCAAAGTCTTTTAGTTTGGGGTGGAATGGTTCTAGACATTGCAGTTTATGAATGATGTAATCCAGTCATTTTGGAAGCTGGTAATTTACAAATGAAAATGGCTTTAAAAAAAAAAATTGGGGATTTTGTGGAGTTAGGACAGCCCCTAGTGGTTGGACACCTGAACTGTATCTGGTCTGACAATGAACATGATCATTTTCTTTTTTTTTTTTTTTGTTGGTCGTGGGGCTTGAACTCTGGGCCTGGGTGCTGTCCTTCAGCTCTTCAGCTCAAGGCGAGCGCTCTACCACTTGAGCTACAGCGCCACTTCCGGTTTTCTGGTGGTTTATTGGAGATAGGAGTCTCACGGTCTCTCCTGCCCGGGCTGGCTTTGAACCGCGATCCTCAGATCTCAGCCTCCTGCGTAGCTAGGATTACAGGCGTGAGCCACCAGCGCCCGGCAACATGATCATTTTCATATGAGTTAGAAAAAGAAAACATTAGTTCTGTCTTTTCTTTTTTTTTTTTTTTTGGGTCCGGTCGTGAGGCCTGAACTCTGGGCCTGGACGCTGTCCCTCAGCTCTTCAGCTCAAGGCTAGCACTCTACCGCTTGAGCCACAGCGCCACTTCCAGCTTTTTTCTTTTTGCTTATGTGGTGCTGAGGAATCGAACCCAGGGCCTCTGGCATGCAAGGCAAGCGCTCTACCACTGAGCCACCTTCCCAGCCCATTAGTTCTGTCTTTTAAGTACAGTGCAAACCAGTCAGTTTTCAAGTTGACATGTTTTGCAAGCAGATGCTAGTAATGAGTACTGACTTAGGTTAACAAATAATGATAGAAGAAAAGAGGAAGGTTGTTATGGACCCCGAACCCCCAAAGCTGTTCTCTTTCTACTCAGACAAGTCTACCTCCAATCTTTATAGCCCAGACGTCCCTGCAGCTTGGATCTGCTCCAGGCTGAGTCAGCTGGGGGAACAGAGCCAGCGCTTCTGTCCTGGTGTTTAAGACTTGTTGAAGTCAAAGTCCTAAATGGTGTGACAATACATTTTAAACTCAAAGCAGTCTATAATTTTAACATAAGTGCATGGATGTTTTCTTCATTCAGAACAGTATGAACAAACATCCTTTAGTTGAGGGAAAACCGTGTGTCTTGCACCTTGGGAGCACTTGACAGCTTGAATGGGACTCTTTCCCCTGTTGAGGAGAGAAGGTGCTCCCAGGATACCGTCCCACATCCCAGGGTCCCTGGCCATAGTCTTAGATTGGTTTGGATTAGACATGGTTTAAAGCCTGGTGTGACACAAATGAACAAAATTAATTTCTTAGGAAGACCTGACAGCTTCAGATGATTTGAGGCCCAGTAAAAGTAGCAGGTTTTATATCTGTCCCAGGCCAGAAGCATACACAAGGACTGGCTCTGCTACTCAGACTGTATATAGAAGCCTGTAAAAACCACAAGCCAATTAGCTGCCACTAATAAACTCCCAAGATGAATTCTGGAGCCTGGGTAGCAGGCTACAGTGAAAGACTTCATAGGGACTATCATGACATCAGCTGCAAACCACTCTTTTTTGTATTGCCATAATCTGTATTGCCAGTACATTAAAATTAGTCTGAGAGGGTGGGAAAGTGTCTTAGTGGTTGCGTGCTTGCCTAGCATGCATGAAGCCCTGGGTTCAATTCCTTAGTACCACATACACAGAAAAAGCTGAAAGTGGCTCAAGTGGTAGAGTGCTAGCCTTGAGCAAAAGAAGCTCAGGGACAGTGCCCAGGCCCTGAGTTCAAGCCCCAGGACTGGCAAAAAAAAATCTGAGTCAGGCATGGTAGCTCAGAATCATCATCATCATCCCAGCTTAGACAAAACTTAACAAGCCCCCTCCCCCCCACACCTCTAAAAAATAAGCCATGTCTTGAAGACACTAATTTGTCATTCCAACTATAGGCAGCATAAGATTATGGTCTGAAGTAGGACCCAGGGCAAAAAAAATGTGACCCTATCTAGAAACCAGTCTAAAGTAAAAAAGAACTGGGGCCAGGTGCTGGTGGCTTACACCTGTAATCCTAGCTACTCAGGAGGCTGAGATCTGAGGATCATGGTTCAAAGTCAGCCCAGGCAGGAAAGTCCTTGAGACTCTTATCTCCAATAAGCCACTCAGAAAACTGGAAGTGGCGCTGTGGCTTAAGTGGTAGGGCACTAGCCTTGACCTAAAGAGCTGAGGGACAGCACCCAGGTCCAGAGTTTAAGCCCCAGGACCAAAAAAAAAAAAACAAATAGATCTGGGGATGTGGCTCAAGTAGTAGTACACTTGCCTGGCAAGTGTGAGGCCCTGTGTTCAAACCCTAATACTGACAAAAAATTCTGAATAATAACTGTGCATCATTAAAAGTGCAAATTCACACACAGAAAAGTCAGATTTCCTCCCAGCAACGAGCCCCACGCTCTGTTCCCCTTTGCAGAGGCTCATTTGTTCTACTTCTTGCATATTCTTCTAGAAATGATGGATACACTTCCAGGGATACTTGTAGAGTTTATCCTACATTGTCCTACTACTTGTGGTTGACAGCCAATTCTAGCTTCTTAGAGTTATTTGATAATAGTACTACACATGCAAAGAGGCCTCAGCTTTGTTAGTAGCTTCATAACGTTCCACACATGTCCCAAGAATTACAAAACTGTTTTCCTTTTTAAAATTATTTTTTGTTTAAATGGTACTGAGGAATTGAACCCAGGGCCTCATGCATGCTAAGCAAGCATTCTACCACTAAGCCACATTCCCAGCTCCATACAAGACCACTTCTTTCACCATCCCTACCAGGCCTTTAGTTCATGTCTCCCTTTGATATAATAAGCATTGAGGTTTTTCTGGTCAGGGTAATCAGTGGAAGGACCTGAGCTCTTGAGTCATTTCTGAGTACCTCAGGAAGAGTGTGCTCATCTAGCCACATTAGGTCTCTAAAGGACAGAGAAGGGTTCATTTGACATCCTACCGCCATGCATCTAGGAGGACACTTTTTACCAAGCCTCATTGTGAAGAAATGGATTCAGGCCTGAGGCTGTCAATGTCACTGTGTAGTGCCCCACAGATGCCAACCCTGAGCATCTCACAAACTAAGATACAAGCTCAGAAGCCCTGAAATTCCTAGTGTGGGCTCTCTGCGACCTGCAGATGCTTTGCTAAGCCCTTCTCCACCCTCCCCACCTTGCTATTGGCTTTTCTTCTCTGAGTTTTGAGTCTGTAGCTCCTTTTGGCAGGACAGAGCTAGCTGCATGCCTCCCCTTAGGTTATGGTGTAACATGGAGTCACCTGCCGCAAGCCCCCTTTCCTTCTTACAACCACCTGGAGGAGTAGGTAGTCTTAGTCCAGTGGGCTACTTAGCCCCAGTCATAGCAGAAGGACTTACTTCTTTAGGCATGCTCTGTGTGCTCCTCAGTGGTCAGTTCTATACTTGTAGTAGGCATCTAGGAAATCTTTATGTAGTAAATGATATGGACAGTTAAACTGGCTGAGAGGCGTTATGAGGAGACACAGCCACTAGAGGTCACAGTTCAGCACATCATTTTAGCCCAAGACCTTAGAGATGGCAAGGACCTCAGTTGTCTCTGTGTCTCAGTGGCTAGGAGAAATTGAGGCCTGAGGATACCATGACCTGCCCAAGCTATGAAAGCACACAGTGTCAAACTGCTTGGTACTGTGATACCTCCGTGAGCATCTTCCAGGGCATTTGTCACCTAAAAACAGCATGCAGAGACAGCAGAGCGGCTCTGTGCCAGATGCTCCTCATGGCCCTGCTGTCTCACAGGAAGAGTCAGCTTCAGTGACAGGGCTGACTTTCCTTCAGAAGCAGAAATAGTATTTTATGTCATGATGCAACCCTTATATAATTCCAGTGCCTAAGATGTACATATGAATTAAAATCACAAAATAATTCTAATTATAATGCATGGATCTTACAATTTTTCTTTTTCCTTCTTTTTTTTTTTTTGGAGGGAGTACTGGGGATGAGCTCAGGACCTTGGCATTTGGTAGGCAAGTGCTTAATCGGTTGAATCACACCCCCACTGTTTTGACTGTTTAGATTGCATTTCAGATAGGGTCTCACAATTTTGCTTGGGCCAGCCTCACATCTCAGTCCTCCTACCTCTGCCTGTTGAGTAGCTGGAATGTTACCAGCCTAGCCTCCAACCACAGTACTTCTATCTCTGCTTCCCAAATAGTTGGGATTATAGGCAGGAACCACCATGCCTGGCCCTGTAATTTTTCCATTCTAGTCTATTTTAGTCTGAGTGGTAAGAAAAAGAATGCTAATTACAAGCCACAAAAATTAATTTCATACTCCCCTAATGGTCACAACCCACAGTAGGAAAACCACTAGTATAAATCGTTGGTTTAACCAAGGCAGGGAGTTACTAACCCTCAGCTTTCATCATTGTAGAGCAAGTGGCCTTGGTAGAGGGCAAGAGGTTACTAGACTATAACTGTCACAGGCAAGACTGGATGGAAGCCAGGCATGAGAATAGGCCAAAGTCAAGTAAGAAGCCCTTCTCCCTGTGACAGTCCCATGCAATCAGGGATCCAGGAGAGACCAGCTCTATTGAATCCCCGGAGACCACATCTGGGAAGCCAGTGGTTGTGCTCTGCAAGTGTGACATACGCATGTAATGGTATTAGAGAAGAATTTACCAATCACTGAAAATGCATTCAGTTATAGATATAAAATTACTGTTTGGAATCCTTAAAGGTTGAAGGTCAGAGGCTTTGAGCAATGTCCATGTCATTGTGGACATAAGGGATCTTGGAGCAGAATTTTGTTTTGGTTTTGTGATCATCTGGACCAGTGTATCTCAGATTTTCTTTCTTTTCTTTTCTTTTTTTTTGGGGGGGGGGGGTTCGGTCGTGGGGCCTGAACTCTGGGCCTGGGCGCTGTCCCTCAGCTCTTCACCTCAAGGCTAGCGCTTTACTACTTGAGCCACAGCACCACTTCTGGCTTTTTTCTTTTTGCTTATGTAGTGCTGAGGAATCGAACCCAGGGCCTCATGCATGCAAGGCAAGCGCTCTACCACCGAGCCACCTTCCTAGCCCCACATCTCAGATTTTCATGTGCACAAGAATCCTTTAGAGATCTTATAAGAGGCAAGTGCTGGTTCAGGAAGTTGGGGATGGTTAGAGAAGCGCCTGACAGTCATGTCCAAGCTGAACTACTGCCTTCTTCCTGCAGACATGGAGAAGGGCTGCCACTTCCTGCACATCTTGGCCTGTGCACGCTTGAGCCTCCACCCGGGCCTCAGCGAGGCTGTGCTGCGGCAGGTGCTTGAACTCCTGGAGGACCACAGTGACGTCGTTAGCACCATGGACCACTACTACATGGCCTTTTGAGCAGAACCTACAGAGTGGCTGAATAACGGGACAAGGTGGTGCTCAGCACAGAGCCAATGCTAACCAGTGTGCCTGCAGGTGGTTCCCTCACAGTAGATTATAAAATACAATCTATTTGAGAATGAGATTTGGCTACTGTATCCTTGGACTGTGATGATGTTCATTTCAGTCAGTCATGCCATAAGAAAATCTTCCTTGCAGCTGGGAGCTGGTGGCTTGTGCCTGTAATCCTAGCTATTCAGGAAGCTGAGATCTGAGTATTATGGTTTGAAGCTAGCTCAGGCAGGAAAGGTAGTGAGATTCTTATCTCCAACTAACCATCAGAAGTAGAGCTGTGGCTCAGAGTGGTAGAACACTAACCTTGAGTAAAAGAGCTCAGGGACAGGGCCCAGGCCCTGAGTTCAAGCCCCACAACTGACAAAAAAAAAGATAAAAGAAGTCGTTTCTTGCATACCTCCTGGCTGGACTGGCCATCACTCATGATGTAGAACAGGAGTGAAGGGTGTTGGTGGTTTAATCCCTATGACTGTCTGGACAGAAAGTGTGTGCCTAATAGACTATAAGAAGTGAAGAGCCTGGGGGCTGGGAAGGTGGCTCAGTGGTAGAGCACTTGCCTTGCATGCATGAGGCCCTGAGTTCGATTCCTCATCACCACATAAGCAAAAAGAAAAAAGCCAGAACTGGCGCTGTGGCTCAAGTGGTAGAGCGCTAGCCTTGAGCTGAAGAGCTGAGGGACAGCACCCAGGCCCAGAGGTCAGGCCCCATGACGGGACCCAAAAAAAAAAAAAAGAGAGAAGTGAAGAGCCTGTGGCCAGAGCACACAACCCTAAAACTTTGAGACTTCAGGCTTTCAAATCCATTCCTACAGGCCTCTACTGGAGGCTAACAACTGGCATAGAGATGTAGCTTTCAGACCTGGGTTACTGCTGTCTTCAGACCCCCAGCGGATAGGAGTACATAGAGATCTGAGGCATGGCTGGTCATTTTCCTTCTGGGTTGAAAAGAGTCACTAAGCATTTCCCTGTGCTCACAGAAGCACATGCCCCAATGCATGGTCCCTGTTTTCCCTGAATGCAGCAGAGTCTATCAGCCAGTTTCCTGGCAGACGGTAAATGTTATTTTCAAGGTTGCTGCTGAGTGAGCAGACAAAGACTACATATGTGTCCAGACAGGTGAGGGAGTCATGCTTTTTCTCAGAATGACAAGGTAAAGGAAAAGCATCTGAAGTATGTGGTAAGCTTGTTCTAACAGCAAACGACAAATCCAGCCAGCAAAAATAAAAGTGTGGATAAAGATTTGGAGTTAATTATAGTCCTTGCACTGAAGGCACCTCAGCCTTCATCTACTGTTCTGGCTCTTGACATGCTCAAGTCTCAGTGACCCAGCTAGAGATCCTGCAGGCCCAAGAGCTGTTTTGCCCTTTGTGGACAAGCCTGTTTCTACATTCAGTCCAGCTTCAGCTGATGTAGCAGGCAGAGAGCTAGCACTGGCAGATCACTTCTTGTCCTAGACTTTCTGCTCTGACCCAAAACTCTAGCAACACTTAATGGTGATGATTCCCACAGCTGTTCTACAGTTTCCCCACATTTGAAATAGTATCCCAGAATAATATCCCACTATTCTTCCTCCAGGTCAGGAACTGTTCTGTGTTGAATTCATGTTTTATTAATGGGGTTTCCTGGAAGGTAATATAGAATTAGAATGTGATAAAGGCATATCCTGGCACAGAGCATCTCCATCCTAGAGGTTCATATCCAGGAGACAATATGAAAGAATAAATACACAAGATGCCCATTGTCGCTGGCTATAGTGGCCGAGCCTAAAATCCCAGCTATGCTAGATATAGAAATTGGGAGGATCTTGATTACATGCTAGCCTAGACAAAAAAAAAGTTAATGAGATCTATCTCATTAAAAGGGGCACTGGTGGCTCACCCTGCAATCCTAGCTACTCAGAAGGTTGAGATCTGAGGATCTCGGTTCAAAGCCAGCCCAGGAACGATAAAGTCCATAGACTTTATCTCCAATTAACCACCAAAAAACTAGAAGTGGTGTTGTGGCTCAAGTGGTAGAGTGCTTGCCTTGAACTGAAGAGCTCAGGGACAGTGCCCATGCCCAGAGTTCAAGCCCCACAATGGATGGAAGGAAGGAAGGAAGGAGAGGAGAGGAGAGGAGCTGGGTACTGGTGACTCATGCCTGTAATCCTAGCTATTCAGGAGGCTGAGGTCTGAAGATCTCGGTTCAAAGCCAGCCAGGGCATCTGGAGACCATCTCTAATAAGTGACACTATGGCTCAAAGTGGTAGAGACTAGCCTTGTTCAGCGCCCAGGCCTGAGTTCAAGCCCTACAACTGACCAAAAAAAAAAAAAAGATGTAGTAGGAGGATATTATTTTCATAAAGCACTACACCTACATCTAATGGGAAGAAAATAGAGTTGTAGACCTATTTATATAGTATACAGCCATTGAGCTAAACCTGAATGTATATAGATATCTGTATTGTGTATTTCTGCATGTACATATTTATAAATGCAACATATTATACACAGCTATATAGTGGATCACCCCCATAGAAATAGTTTCTATACTTTTAGAACACCACACTGCCTGGCTACACTTTCTCCTTGACTCAGCCCTCTCTCCCTGAGGGCTCAGGGTGCAGTTAGTTGCAGACCTTGTTTCTGTCTAGTTCATTCCTTGGGGTGTCACAGCCTTAGGGGTTGTACCTTCTATATGTTGTCCTCCCTCCTAGTTTGCATCCAAGTTGGGCCTGATCCCACTCCAGATATGAGTCCAGACATCACAGTGCTCAGGGAAGTTCTGTTCCACCTGGCCACCTTGCTGTCCCCTCACCACTCTGCCCAGAGTGCTCTTCCTTGAGATAATCATATGATATGTCTTCCTTCCTCTTGTTCAGGTATCCCCTTCACAGTGAGGCTTGCCTCTGGTTTCTACTAGTCCTAACCAACCCCTTCTTCCTCTTCCCTGGGACACAGTCCTTAGCTTTATTTTGCCGAAAGTACTTATAACTGCCTGCTATGCTCAGTATGTGCTGTGTCCCCAGTAGAAGGAATGCTACATGAAGCCAGAAGACACTGTCTCTCTCTCCGTCTCCCTCTCCATCTCCCTCTCCATCTCCGTCTCCTTCTCTCTCCCTCTCTCCCTCTCTCTCTCTCTCTTTCTCTCTCTCCCTCTCCTCCTCCCTCTCTCTTTCTCTCTCCCTCTCCCTCCCTCTCCCCCTCCCCTCTCTCTCTCTCTGTCTTCTCCCAGTTAATTGGAGAAGAGTATCACATATTTGTCTGATAGTTCATTCTGGCTTAATGATCCTCCTGTCTCAGCCTTCTAAGTGCCAAGATAAGCATGTGCTGGCCATACTCTGCTTGGGTACTTTTAAATTAATTCTCTGTGCTTGGTATTTTTGTAATTAGAAAGTATCATCTGTATATACCTATTTCCTGCTCCCCACTCCCTAAATTATAAGTAAGCCAAGAATGCAATATGTCTTCTACAGCATGTAAGGACTGAGAAGCTAACAGAAGCTCTTGGAAAGTGTTCTGGAGCTAACTGCAGGCATTCACTGCTTGTGTAGGATGCCTCTGAGAGAGAGGGACCCAGAGCCAGCCTCCTCCAGCTCTTTGTAGGCATGCATCAGGGTGTGGACACACATGTAGTTTATGGAGCCAAGAAGACAAATGGTGCTACTGTCTGAGGACTTGTTTGAAGATCCATGATTGCCCCATCTGGTAAGCCACCAGTGTTCCTCATCCCTCGAAGACACTTCTTTGTAATTATCCCCTGTGATGGTATGCCAGGACACTGGCCGAGAAAACCAAGTGGAATGAAGTCCATTCAAAGATGAGGAGTCTAAGACTCAATGTAGAAGACTGAAACCAAGCAAACTTAGAATTTTCCGCTGGCAGAAACATCTCTACTTTCTTATTAATGTGGTTTTGCTCTCACAAGTGGCTTCAAGAGCAGTTTTCCCCCGAGAAACATTGTTTCCTTGCTAAATTTACATGAAGCTTATAGCACACTCAGACCATGATGCGGCTTTGCTGGAGACATCAGCAGGAGACACTGGGGAAGAGTGAACCACCCGCAGGGGGATGGTGGTGGGACACAGACCCTCATGCCTGAGTTCTGGTGAATATGGCATTCTACTGGAGAGCAGCTGATTGTGAGCCTACATTCTTCTGAATAGGTCTACATTGTCATCCAGAAATGTAATTCAGCCTGTAATTACTGTACTTTGGCCATCTCTCATTGCCTGTTAACCTCTGCCATATTTATTAAAACCAAACAGAAAAGTCACGCACAAGGGTCTATGTTCACAACAATTCTAAATCAAACTCTGAATTCCTCTATGTCTAAATTCTATAATTTTCCTGCTGTGACTTAAAAGTAAGCCCTAAGTTAGTATGACTTTTTAAATGCTCATGATTTTATGTTTGTTTTTGTACTGGGTTGAAATCTAAGTCCAATTAAAAATATACTTCTATTAAAAAAAGAAATTAACAGTTTCATTTTGGAACATAGAGGAACTTTGAAGAGCACATGATAGGTCTAGGTTTGTTTTCAGATGGTGACAATAAAGTAGTGTCTCTTGATTCAGGTGAAAAATCTGGGTTTGAAGTGTCCTGTATAAGTCACTTCTGGTAGGTCCGCCAGATGGTCCTTGGTAAATCAGAATCACCATGAAGAAGTAAGTTTCTAAGCTGGGCACCAGTACGCCTGTAATCCTAGCTAGCAGGAGGCTGAGATCTGAGGATCATGGTTCAAAGCCAGCCCGGGCAGGAAAGTCCATGAGACTTTTATCTCCAATTAACCACCAGAAAATCAGAAGTGGTGCTGTGGCTTAAGTAGTAAGACTGCTAGCCTTGAGCTGAACAGCTCAAGGACAGCATCCAGGCCCAGAGTTCCAGCTCCATGACCAGCAAAAAAAAAGGTAAGCTTCTGCTCTTTAGGGAATCTATTTTAATGAATAAAAATGTTTTAATTATGTACCATTTATTAGTATCATGATATATTAATAGCATATCTATCATATCTAATATTTCAGTGGTTTAAAATTGCTTGAACCAAGCTAGGCACTAGTGGC